ACCATCTTTTATAGATTCTTTATATAACAAAGCAATACCACCGCTACATCTTCTTGAATTCCGATGTTGAAACTTTCTGTAATAATTATATGAAATATAACCTTTTATATCTAAATTACTATTTATATTTGTCCATGTTTCATAAAGAAAAAATATGTCATATGTTTATGTGATCATTATCATGTTTTTATAGTCAGAAAACCCGTTTATATTCCAAGAAAGAATTCCGAGGCTATCCCCTGTGTATTCCTATCTCCGTTGGGCTTTACCGTCTATATACAGCGTATCGTACGACAACCAAGCACGTTGTCCCTTGTCCCTAGCATCTTTCAACTTCGGGATCAATGCTTTCCTTTTTTCCACAACTTCCCTTGGATATTGTTCATGAACAAAATATTTTGTGTTATCAAGAAACTTCCAAGACCTTCTCACCATTTCCCTTTCTTTAAACAGCGTAAATTTAGCAACTATTTTTCTGTCCCTTCCATTCATTCTATCTCCCATTCTATGTACCCTATCAAACTGTATTTCATTAGACAAATCTTTCGCTACCTTCATTTTCTCAGTTAAAAAAATTCTTAGGACATTTTCTGCATCTTCTTGCTCCCCCGGACGGGCCTCTTCAATGTTACCAAAAACAAGATTGTTTCTCATTGATTGAGACTGTACATAAACTAGGTCATCAGACAATTGCTTACTTTTACACTGTAAGTCATCCACCTTTGATGTTACCAATCCTAAATTAAAGTCCGAACTCTCTATCCTCTCTTCAATCGTGACAATTTTTTCATTTGTTTTAATGTTTTGGTCATGAATACTACTCCATAGTTTCGCAAGGTCCTTATCAAAACTGCACACTTTTTTTTCCAGTATATCTAGAGTATTAAGTTTTTTTTTCCACAGATTCTAGGCGATTGTTAATTTTATTAAGTATTGTCATTAGATCTGCATTAGAGGGTGAATTTGACGCCATTTCCACAGGGGCTTGAGTTTTTTTCATCTGCTTCAGAAACAGAGTAATTATTGAGTAGATCTTCTAAATTCAATGTTGCATTAAATTCAATGTTTTCTTCATCATAAAGTACTGAGTTAGTCTCTTTCAAAACGCTTCTTACTATAACTTCTTCAGGTGTACTTGTGAAACGACCTGATTTTCGCTCACCACCATTATTTATCGATCCATCACTGATTTTCCTTTTCTTTTTCTGAGAGTTTTTTCCTTTTTTACCAGTCATTACTCACACATTCCAAAAGATCACAAAACACTTTAAATTTGCATTGATAAATAAATTCCATATATTCTTTCACAAAAAATACACTTTTTTATCCAATTTTCCTTAGCTATAAAAAACCTGTTTTTCACCTACGTCACGTGACATGAAAACAGAGTTAAAAAGCTGACATCCATAAAAATTAATAATTTAGAGCTTCATGAGCTTTACCAATCAATTGTTCTTGAGTTAAACTTAAGCTACTAGTATAACTAAGTAATTGAAGTTATAGACACAATCCAAGTGTTTTCCTTCATGATAAAATTATTCATTGTTTTAAAGCCCTCGCGTATTTTTAGGTCTTCTAAGCTCTTTTACAATAATCATTTAAAAGCGACAAACTTCTAAGTATATTATCTGGTGTATCTTCTTAAATGACCATATAAGTAACAAAATCTAAACAATATTATTTTAGTTAAACCGATATTTACATCTCTTTGTAAAAATAATTCAAAGTCATCTAAAAAGAGGTGAAATAACTTCCCTTTGACGGAGACCTACTGCATAATTAAAGAATTCCGAGTAGCTATTACATAACCTTACACACGTTTATACTTTGCTACTGGGGGCAACAATTTATCTATGATACCACAATCCAAAGTCTGCAGAAACACAATGCAAATGTTTATTATTATTTATATAAATTTTCACAACTGTCATTAGAAAAAAATAAAACACCAATGTATGATTTTTCTAACTGTGCATCTTTCACAATATATTATTATTCTTTTGTTTAAAATAGATGTGAATACTTTTGATAGATAACTAAATAACGTTATTCCTCTATAGTTATTAAATATAATTAAATATGCGAAGATAAACTTTTAAAACATTCAATAAAATATTCATTTTAACAGGCAATCAATACCAGGTGATTTATTAGATTTTAAAGTTTTGATTGCTCCCCAAATTTCATCAACAGTAATACATTTATCTAAAATATAATTCAATTAATCTAAATTTCCAAAATCATTGTTGCGTGAAAAATCTTCGGACTCCATATTACTTGTTTGGAATATATCATTACCTAATTCTAAAAAATACTTATGCATTTCATCTCATGAAAAGTTATGCTTTATTTTATTATTAGACTTATATCAATTCAAAAGTGTTTTGCATAGAAAATCGTAATTTCTCAATTTTTGCAACTTTTGTTTTCAATTTAAACAAGCGTCTCTTTTTCTTAACAAATACTTTGCTCTATAAAAACACAACTGCTTCCAATTTACAACACTTTTATATCTACTTTAAAATAACTTAAAGCGTTTATATACAACCTTTTAGCTTGTGAACAATCATAATCAAACCACTACTTATCCTTAACAATACATTTACCAATAAATGTAGACTGAATATCTATACTACATTTGTATTATTCTTACAAAATAACGGATTTTATTTCCTTATTCGTTTCTATCAAATACCATCTAATAAGGTAAATCAACTCTGAGAAGAGACAACAAAACACAAAATGCCATTTAGGAATTGTCTTGTGCGTTGTGTAATACATATCTTGTACATCAATTTCATGATAAACTTATCAAACAAGCATACATGTATATGCATAGCAGTTCAATCCATTCATAATATTTCGAACAATTAAGAAGCATAATGTTGTAGAATTCTCATTTTTATGATAAGAAAATCCTAAAGAAAGATTAATTATCACATTAAGGATATATAATAATATTATTTGAGCTTTCAACAAAACGATTGCTGCAGAGAAAAACAAACATTTATCATGCTCTAAAACTGTAATATAAACACTGTAATATTCAAGCTTGCCCTTTCTAAACAACGTTTTTGCATCGTGATGAACCTTTAACAAATCCTTACAGTTTACTATGAACTAATCATTTTATTTCAAAATAAAGCATTAAAAATTATTTATACTAAACAAAATGAGTAAGTGGGCTTTGAAACTTAGTGTATGTGTTTACTGCACGAATGAGGGAAAACCTTAACAACAATTATAAATAGTTTACACGCACTGAAAATCCGTGCAAAAACTGAAGACCATAAACACTACAACTTTAAAGGGTGATACTCACTAAAACTAGATGATTTACTTTAACCTATGATAAATATATTGTTTAAGCCTAACAAAAGAGAGTCTACCGCAGAACGAACAGTTAAATCTACATTAAGAGATAAATCGTTTTTAATACTGGTATATTTTTCCGATAAGATTCGGTCTGAAAATATCTATAAGTTCTGTTGACCATACATATTTAACAAAATTGTCATTTTGTTCTCCATGTTGACACTCATACGTTTCACTACAATAAATGTTGAAATATTATGGCAGTGGTCACTCCGTTCAAATCGTACACATTGAAATTACTTATGAGCGAAAAATACATTCTTTTGTTCATAAATAGTCTACGGTTGTTGAACACTGGCTAGAGAAAAAAACGTACATTTACCGTAAAGGTCACCTATTATACCATTTACTATACGAAAATCGGTGGATTGACATAACTAACAGTCTATAATCGAACATACTGCAATGATTATCTGATGAGGCTCTACCAATGAGTTTATCGAGAACAATTTCATTAAAATCAATGTCACTGTTCATACTATCATGTAAAATAAAGTCATTTCTGCAGACGATTCTCGAATAACAATCTCCAATTAAACATACATTCTGCCTTTACTTTCAAATTTATATATGTCATTTTGTATAATATCAAAAAGGTCAACATTACGCACATAATACGCTGGCGAATCCTCACACCATATGTACACACAACATATGTAAACATCTTCTTGAAATTTTGAAAATTGTTTTATCTAGTTTAATCTGAATTAAAGTATCATAATGGTTTTTTAAAAATATAAATACCACTTTGTAAATATTCTCTGTAATTTGACGCAACTCCTCCCTTGCAACGTTGCCATGGCTCTTCTGTGCTAGAATTTTCTGTAATAGTTATGCATGTCGCATATAAATGTCATGATCAACTGAGGAAGCTGAATAAAGCGAAACATGTTTTGATACTTAGTTTGTGTTGGTTTTTTATTCAATTGTCTTATGTTCAATAATCGTATTAATAAAATCCTTGTTACACCTTTTAATGTCCGTTAAACCGTTTAAATTCCATTCAAAAACACTCAGTTCATTCTCACCACGTCCCTATTTCTGGGTCTTTCCATCAAAGTATCATAAGACAGCCATGCCTTATGACCTTTCTGCCTAGTTTCTTTCAATTTTGACAGTAGTTCTCTTCTCGTGCCTATAGCCTCTTTAGGAAATTGTTCGTCCACATAACGATTGGTCCCTTTTAATGCTACACCTGATCGTCTATCAAGTTCCTTCTCTTTAAAAAAAATTGAATTTTGCGACAATATTTCTAGGCCTGCCATTTCTTCCATGATCTCCTATTCTATGCACTCTTTCAAATTTCATGTCTTTAACAAGATCACGAGCTTTTTTCATTTTGTCAGTCTAAAAGGTTCTAATCACTTGATCACAGTCTAAATTATTGCCCTTCGGGGCAATAATTTTTGTAAATATCAGGTTATTCCTGATTGATTGTGATTGAATGTATTCAAGGTTATTATTGAGTTTTTTTTATTTCTGTCTTCAAGATCGACTATTTTGGATGTAACAAAACCAATATTGAAATCTGTGCTTTCAACCTTTTCTTCGACCATATGTCTTGCATTTGTTTTGATCCTTGATAACGTTCAAAAGTTTAACTGAAAAATTCATTATTTTTCTGCCAAAGAATGCAAACATGCTAATTTTGAGTCTCTTAATTTTTGCAACATAAAGCTTTATGTAAATATGAACAAAAGCAATCAATTTGTTTTTAAAACAGATGAGTTTTTAAAAAATATGTTATTTCATTTATATTAGTATAAAGCATTTAAACAAGTGTAATACATGAAGTGGATTATATTTATTCTATTTCTTTTTCGATTATAATTGACATATTTAAACAAGATTTTAAAATAATGCCCATCAAAATTAAAAGATTGTTATTAAGATTATTTTTGGTCTTATGATTATTTCACAATTGAGAACTGACTGAATTTTCTGTCTGTCTTCAAAGAAAGGTGGTTGTCAGGTTTTGTCTTTACAATGTAAAATCGCCTAAAATCGCTTAAAAACAGTGTATATTTGTAAAAAACCCACTTTATTCAATGTCAATCTTGCAAACTTTAAATTGAAAACTAATATACAGTTTATCCATGAGAAAAAAGTTTATACAAAACAGAAGGTACAAGGGGAGTTATTCTATAAAAGTATGAAAAATATAGTATGAGATGTTTACATTCATATAATGAACAGATTTCTAATCAATATTAACTTTTTAGCAATATCGAAACTGATGATTCAAAACTGTCTTATATTCTGAATATATATATCCCGAAGTTAAAAATATTTTTAGAATAGTTAATCAATTTATGACTGCAGCAAACCATTGTAACAACCCTTAAATACATTATCTATTTCATAATTGGCTTTGACAATATTCTTCACCAAAAAATTAAATGTCATTCGGTAAAGAAGAAGCCTCAAAGGGTGGTTTGTGATCGGTTATGACTTTCAAGATATTCCGAAAGTCTTTCTGTATCAAACATTAAAGTCTTATTCAGTCGGGAATGTTGTTTGAAGTCCACTTTGTATCTAGTGTTATGTGCAGATAAATGATGATTCACCACCCATGTGTTTAATTTAGTTGATCGATTCGGTTGGTACACCCTTGTTATCCAATCATCTGACCACCAATTATCAAAGTATGGAGGGTAGTAAAAATCAAAAATCTCCAAATGTGTCCGATGTACCATATCGTGTGTTAGAATGGCGGTGTTTCCCTGTCTACAAGTTGGTCCTACAACGCCTATGTTCGGTGGAGAAAAGTTCTGTAATACTTTTATTCCTTGGGAAATCCAGTTGTTTGTTTCAAACGTTGTATCATCATTTATACGAACTAAATAATCCATACCATCTGTATAAGCTTCTCTAGCTATTGCATTTGCAGTTTTTGTAAATGATCCGCCACTTGTTACTACAACTTTTATTTTATCAAAAATTGTCTCAAGTTTATGCTTAACTGTTTCAAGATAATCACCTTTATCAACTCCAATGTAAATAAGAAAATTATATTTCTTTTCAATGAATTTTAATATGGATGGTATACATTTATTGGTAAGACTCAATTTATTCAACGATGGCTTTGTAATATATCTTGTCGTGGATGGGATTAGTATTCCGATTTTGTAAACTGAAACATTCATGTATTTGACATGGGGGTCGTTTCTGAACTTTATTACACTATCTGTTAAATGCGTAGGCAACGTTTTTACCACTGGAAAGTTCAGTCGCAGTTCTATAAAGCCAACTATAACAACACTAGAGCAAGTGATCAAAATCATCATTGTTTGGATTCGATTTCGTGTCTCGTACAAATTAATCATTTTGTTACTTTCCAAAACTATTTTTGATATTTCTTCTAAAATTTCCTACAATAGGAAATACATTCGTGTGTGTATAACATTAAGAATTTTATTCTCAGCTTTTTTCTAAACCGTTTTATTTCATTTTGTAACTACTTAGCATCATGAAAAGAATGACAATGATGAAACTTTATCTTTTGAAGAACTCCTTTCCTATAGACGAAAAGGAAAAGTTGCACCTTTTATACTCTTCTTTTGTTGATCATCATCTTATAGTCAATTGTATCCTGAAATATTGAAATACAAATGGAATGGTACCATTCAAATGAAATTACAAGAAAACAAGAATATTATCAAGAAGTTTAGATAAATTCCCTTATTTGCAGATCAGTGTCTTTGAGTGTTTTGTTTGATTCCTCGCTAAAATGATGTTAACTGCACATCGACCTTGTTTTTATTTTTTCTGAATATATGTTACGCCAACGACAGTAAAATGACTGGATCTTATAAATTTGATACTAAAAAGTGTAGCTTTTAACTTTTACATTTTGTGTAAAGAAGAGAATGAAAGAAAAAAGCTTCAATTAAAGGGGACTCCACTAAGGTATTGTGACATGACAGGAGTAGAAATAATTGTATGAGATTAATAATCCATTAGATGAAGGTCTTGATTAATACTTTGCAAAATTCGGGATCACTCCTTTTTCCAGAATAATTATTCAAAAAGTGAAAAACAACTCAAAATTGAAAATCGTTGCAACAGTTTTCACTCAAATCGAGCTAAGAATGCCACAAAATACGATTTTCAATTTATTTCTGAGTATAGTTTTTAATTATTCTTTGTATACCTTTCTGTTCAAAGTGCCCAGGCTGATCTATTCAAATTCAAATTTTGTGTATTCATGGTAACGGACCTCAGTGGAGTTCCTTAAAGATAAAAACATATTAAGTGGAGTTGCAAGAAAAATGCAAACCGATACACGAGAACTGAATAAATATGATTATCCGTTCTACATGTTTTCAGGTAAATCTCCTATAGACTATAGATGGTTAACGGATTTTAACTCTTAACCTGCTTGAACCAATTTTTTCCCAAAGGCTCTATACTGTTGATAACCACATATTTAGACTTTTGATTTTGAAACCTTGTAAACTCTAAATGGGCAGATCCAAAGTCAAAGTAGGACAAATATATAATATATTTTTTATGACAAATAAATTTAACGAAATTTAGAAGATGTTCAGAATAATATAAATCTAAACTTGTAGCGTAGGTTAGATAATGTTGCATCTACTATGAGATAATTACGACACATAATATACAGTCAAAGCCGCTATTTATATATTTAGTACCCTTTTTTGTAAATTGTTGGTACGTGATAAATATAATATGATTTTCGTATTGGCTCATGACAGCGTAAATGGAACCAGATTGTTTTATTTAACGACCTATAAATTCAGTATTGAACTCATTCAATATCCTCATAGTATAAACACTTGTGAACGTTTAGTACGAAGGGTTTTTTAAAGATAACGTAGATCAAAATTTTTGTTATTTTGCTTGAAATTCGTATGTTACCAGATGATGTGATTTTTGCATTGCTTCCGTTTTTAATGTTGGTAAATGGTTTATTTAACATAGCAACGGACACTCCAGAGGAGACTTTTAACCCTTTACCTCATATATACGCGAAACAACGCACTTTCGACCCCCCCCCTTTTTTAGGCCTCAAATAGTGAAACAATTTCCTATTTGGGCCCCAAACACATGTTTTCGTTTGAGAAACGTTGCTAAAAAATTGAGCACTTTTTCGGCGCCGCCCCCATCCAAAAGATACATCAGGGGGTTGCCAGAAGGGGGATGTACCCCCTTCTGTTAGGGGGGTTTGAAGGGGGGCGGAGTCCCCCTCATCGCCAAGAAAATTTTGGACTTGTGAGAGGCTAAAAATGACCACATGTCGATCATAATGTAACGTGTAACCAACGCTGAAAAGACTTTGACTCTATCTCATTCCCTTGATAAGTTGCAGCATTTTGAAATAAATTTTGATGGAAAAAATCGAGGCAAAATAGTGATTATTGGCAATTTTGAGATGTCCCTTCGTTGCCATGGTAACAGGAAATTTAAGACTGAGCATGTCGTTACATGGTCCAGTCAACATTTGTGCCAAGTTTGATTAGTATTGAAGCATTATTCATAGTTTCATAGCAGTTTGAACTTGTAACAGGAGGCTTTTCAGTGAAAATGGCCATTTTTCACAATATGCTCATGGGGGAAAGGGTTAACTGTGTAACTTTGGAATCATTGAGTCCAACACTTTTAAGTGTTGAGAATTGTGTACCTCCTAAGCCAATGCTAGGGGGCGTGAGGGATGTTGCACATTTGCATTATCCCTCATGTATAGACTCAATCAAACCGAATCTGCTATAGTATTTACAGATAAAAAAACAAAACAAAAAAAACAACAACAACAAACAAACAAAACTTCAACAAATGAACAAAACTCCCTTCAAAACAGCATAATTCTTTTCTCTAAAAAATAAACGCTACAAACTACAAGTGTTTTATTCCTTTAATTGATTTTAATTTCTCCCTAAACTTTATATTTGTTAGCTTAACTATTTTACATTTACATGTAGATAACATTTATACGCACAGCAACAGATTGGAAAATAAACTGCTAATTGAAACATTATATTTACACTTCATCTGAAACAATGTATCGCTGTAGGGAAATATTAACTTGTTTGAAAATAAGTATATCTACAGATAAACTGTATTATTTTTCTGACAGTCCCCTACTCACGAAAACACTCCACTGTTTTCAACCATATAAGTAATCTACAATGTCTCTTTTCAGGTACTGAAACTATCACAAGTTGATAGTTTGTCACTTGGCTTGATCTTGTGATCTCGGATCTGTAGTTCTAGTAACGTCGGTAATAATACCCTCAAATTTTTGAAGGAACGCAATTACATTTGACATTTACATCTCTGTACGTCCTTCACCCAGTGTATCTACTAATTCTAAAATGTTTTCATCATCAGCCACCCCAGTATCATTTGCGGCTCCTATTACAGCTATACTAGCATATATCATATCTTTTCGTTCTTACATACTTCTTCGGAAGATTAAGTGGAACACCCAAATTCTATCACCTATTTTAACTAAGTATTCAAACTTGTTAACTACTTCACTTAAACAAATGCAAATTTTGATTGTAACCTTTGCAATAAAACTTTATCTCCTTTCTTGGGACTTTTTGGTTGTGTTTTGTTATCATTGTGATGTTTGTACTGTACTTGTGAGTTGCTGAGATTCTCTCTAGCAATCTTGCACGTTTGTTCTAACTTAATTCTCAAATCTAGGACATTCCTATATGTTTTAAAGTGTCTCTGATTCTTCTGTCTCTGTCCAGAATTCTTAAAGTGCTTGCATCGGACCTCTACCAGGTCTGCTATATAATAACTCAAATAAGAACCCTGTACTTGACTGAGTTACTTCTCGGTATGCAAGAAGAACCGCAGAAAATTATTTGTGCATATTCTTAGGTCTTTTTTGACACATTTTCTTCAACATGTTTTTTAAAAACCACTTATTCTCTTACAAAGACCATTGCAGTTTTGATTATAAGATGTAGTAAACAACTGTTTCAATGATACGAGTCTACATTTTATTCTATGAGTTGTGATATGAACTTACTTCCTCTATCACTTAGTATATCCGATTGGAAACTTCCTATTTCAATAATATCTAACAATACTTCGGCTATATTATCAGTCTCTATTCTTGGTAAAGCAACAACTTCTGGATAACGAGTATAATAATCAATTACAGTTAATATGTACCTATTTTTCTTTTTTGATACAGGTAATATATGCCCTATCAAACTGCAATTCTCTGGAAAGGAGTGGCAATTAAAGGCAGTTCACTTAAAGGAGTTTTCTGAAGTGTACCCCTGGGCATCGTCTTCTGACAAATATAACAAAAATACCTGAGACTGTTTACTGTCTAAAGTATTGCGTACAGACAAATGCCCACCAACTACAGACTCATGAGCTAATGACATAACTCTTTTATGATATTAACTGGGAACAACTATTTGTCTTGTTTCAGACTTCAAATCACCTTTCACCGTCTCAAATATTCTATACAACACATCTTTTTCTAATTCATATCTAAATGTTTTACCATTTTTTGTTTGTTATCATAATCTTATTTCTCTAGCATACTGCCACAAACGCTGTAAAGTATTGTCCTTTCTGAAAAACGACTACCGTATTTTCGATATCTTTGACCTTGAACTTTATGTTTCATTTCTGCCTTCTCTTTTTTCTGCCAGTGCTCTAGTAACAACAGTAGCTATGTTTGTATCTTCTCGGCTAACCCAAATCTCATTTGGCTTAACAAGTACACCCTGAAAAATGCCCAAAACATAATCACAAAATGAATAGGTACCATGAATAGGTACCAACTTGGCCGGACCATATTTTGTTATCATGACACAATTTTTATTCAACCTTAGATCTTCTTCGACAAATTTCTTTCGAACTACTGCTAGCTCGAAACTAGTGTCTCTTGGAACTTTCAGCTCTTGATCACCAACATATCCTAGTTTCAGATCCATTTGACGTTCACATTGTAATGATTTAATTGTATAGCTGCTAGTAATGACGGGCACAGAATTACCATTGGTTAATTTAAGTTTCCACTCTTCAATACAACCATTAGAACCTGTTGGAAAAATTGACATACATATCCCAGATACTTTCTTATCATCTGATCTACCATCACGTCAATTTTCTCCAGGCCTGCTACGCCAGTTCCTTTGTGAAGAATCCCGATTTTTTATTTAGTAATTTATATTTTGCACGCCATATCCAATTGCAGCAGTCCTATATCTTTCCTTAGTCTGATCTCCGGCGAAATGACCCTCTCTATTTCATATGAAGCATGTATTTTTCCTGTTTTCTCTGTGATAGTGCTGTACTGATTTCGAGTGATTACCTTGATTTAAGCGTGTTGGTGATTTATTTGAAATATTGACAGCTTCGGAGCTTTTACTATTTGTAATTGTACCGCCATGAGCCTGTAAGTAATTGGAGAGGTCATCAGACCTCTTTACAGTGTTCAGACTCAATGCTGGCATCCATTTTTGCGTATCTGATTGTATTGAATTAATCTCATTTAAAGCGTAAAATCATTAGGGGCAGTCTACAAAAATGTTTTGCGCATGCTCCGTTTCAAAATACGACTTAACTTTAACGAAATATTCACATCGAAGT